GCAGTGGGCACACCAGGCACGCTGCTTGGTGGGAAGGGCAGGCCAGGTGGCTCAGGGACTCCCCACCGCCTTGCCCAGCCCCCGCTGGCTGCAGGATGATGCAGGGCTGGGCAAGGAGCAAAGCCTCCACTTGAGCCTGGGCTCCAGCACCTTCTGCCTCATCTGATTTGGGGCCGGCTCAGGGGTCGTCTCTGTACCAGCAGGTCTGTGTCTCTTGTCCATTTGGAATCACACCAGGATGCAGACGTGCACTTGACTTCATAAGGAGCTAGTGTGTTTGGGAGGAAGGCCTCCATTCTCGAAATTCCCCCGGACTGGGAAACCTGCAAGGGCCTGAGGGCTGACCTTGAGCAGGGGTTAAGGAGCAAAGCCTCCACTTGAGCCTGGGCTCCAACACCTTCTGCCTCATCTGATTTGGGGCTGGCTCAGGGGTCGTCTCTGTACCCGCAGGTCTGTGTCTCTTGTCCATTGGAATCACACCAGGATGCAGACGTGCACTTGACTTCATAAGGAGCTAGTGTGTTTGGGAGAAAGGCCTCCATTCTCGAAATTCCCGGACTGGGAAACCTGCAAGGGCCTGAGGGTTGACCTTGAGCAGGGGTTTTCAAATGGTTTCACACTGAATACTTTCTGCACACAAAGGCTTACCTGATGGCTGTTATGTAAAACAGATGGAAACTTAGCTCTTGGGACAAACTGGTGGGTGTTGAAGGCACTGGAAGATGGGACCAGAGTCCCCTTTCCCCTGTAGCTCTTGGTTCTGGGGAGATGGGGGTTGGGGTTGGTCCTGGCAGTGGGATGGGGCAGCCAGGAGAGAGAGGGAGAGCCCTGGGGAGAGTCCAGTGACTGACATTTACTAACTGGTACAGAGGGCTTCCGTATTTTCAGAACTGCGTGTTCATGCCTGGGTGGCTGGGCCAACGAACTCATCTTTCACAGCAAGAAGTCAGTCTATACACACAAAAAAGAAAATATGTCCTTGGAAAAAATCATGATGACTTCAAACTTTAATGTTCTCAGTTTCTTTTTTTAATCTTGAAAGGATATTTTAGAGGAACTATCTCTTGTCTAGAGGAAATATTTAAATATTTTTTATATTGATTTCAGAGAGGGAGAGGGAGAGATACATTAATGATGAGAGAGAATCATTGATCAGCTGCCTCCTGCATGCCCACTACTGGGAATCGAGCCTGCAACCCAGGCATGTGCCCTTAACTGGAATGGAACCCAAGACCTTTCAGTCCACAGGCCGACACTCTATCCACTGAGCCAAACCAGCTAGGGTTAGAGGAAATATTTATATGAATTCAGCAATTCCATCAACTTCTCTTTCTTTTTCTTTTGTGAAATTTAAGTAAAATTTAAAATTATATCTGAAATATGATTGTTCTGATTTTTAAAAAATTCTCTCTATCCATCTTTTCATTACCCATGCTTCTCTTCTTGTATTTGCATATTAAGTTGTCCAAATGATGTTCACCAAATGTGGTTGGTTATTATGGCTGGTGGGATTGGGGTTTTTTTCTCTTCCATCTTTGGGATTTCAGCATCAATTTAAGTAAAATTTAAAATTATATCTGAAATATGATTGTTCTGGTTTTTAAAAAATTATCTCCATCTTTTCATTACCCATGCTTCCCTTCTTGTATTTGCATATTAAGTTGTCCAAAATGATGTTCACCGAATGTGGTTGGTTATTATGGCTGGTGGGGTTGGGGTTGTTTTCTCTTCCATCTTTGGGATTTCAGCGTGTTTTACTGAATTCTTTATAATGAACAGATGCCAGTGTGATTTTACTTTAGTGTGATTTCTTTTCTTTAAAAAAACACAGGAAGAAAACACAGCAATGACCTATTCATTCAACAAATATTTATCGAACAACTTGAAAAAAAATTGAAATATAGAATGTGGCTCAGTGGTTGAGCATCGACCGAAGAACCAGGAAGTCACAGTTCGAGTCTGGGTCAGGCATATATGCCTGGGTTGCAGGCTCCATCCCAGTAGGGGGTGTGCAGGAGGCAGCTGATCAATGATTATCTCTCATCATTGATGTTTCTATCCCTCTCCCTTCCTCTCTGAAATCAATAAAACTGTATTTTTTACAAAAAGAAAACCTTTGGCTAAGGGCAGTCCTGTTTGTTCTCCTTTATGTGAGGTCATCGTTCCCTGTCTCTTCAATAACAGGTCTTTTACTAGAGGCCTCCTGTGAAGGCACAGGACTGGTTGCCAAGGGCATTTCATATTAATAGAGGGATAAGGAATAGATGTGTGTGTGTGTGTGTGTGTGTTTACATTATACATAATAAATTTTAAAAAAACTTGCTACTACAACATAGCACAAACTTGAAAGTGAAAAGTATAGGTAAAGAGCTATTGGAGCGCAAATCTGAGGCCTTGAAGTAACAGGGCAAGTTTCAAACAGGCTTGACACAGAAGGAAGGGTAGGTTTAAATAAAGATGAACAAATTCTGCAGAAAAAAATTGGCAAAGACCAAGAAGTGTGCTTAGCAATATTCAGGGAATAACGAACAGGCCAGTTTTATGGATCTATTCAGAAATTCAGATTTTATCCTATGGAGATAAGGAGCTACTTGGAAAAGCAATTGGCAAAGACCAAGAAGTGTGCTTAGCAATGTTCAGGGAATAACAGGCCAGTTTTATGGATCTATATCAGAAATTCAGGAGCTACTGATGCTTTTAGAACAAAGGCTGACTATGTACTATTTGTTTACAATTAACTTGGAAAAGCTGTGTAGGATTGCATTAAAAAAAAAAAAAACAGAGGGGAGGGATAATTCGGAGACTATGGTGATACTTGAGGTCAGGATGATCGGGTCCTAAAAGTCTACACAGTAAGGTGTTGGCAGTGAGGATGGAAAGAAATTGGTACCTGCCTGGATATGGAAAAAGATAAAGGAGGCCAAGAGCACTATAAGGTTTCAAGCTGGAGGGGAGGGAGAATGATGGTATCCTTGAGACAATAAAATTCAGAGAGCACAGTTTAGTGAGCAGAAACATTCAATGAGATTGAAAATATGTGGGGCTTCAGGGGATGGGGACACATTCGGGGGCAGAGTTCTAATAGACGGCTGTGACCAAAGCTCGGGGGAGAGGTCAGTACTGAGAGTGTGGACCTGGGAGTCACCTGCATGAGAGAAAAATGCAGAGAGGAAAGGTAGGGGATAACGTAGGGGAAGGAGGAGGGAGAGCGTGAGAAGCAGCCGAAGAGATTAGAAGGCCAGAGAGGAGTTGAGAAGTCTAGAAGAAGCACGTTGTAAGGATGAGGAAGTACACAGCAATGCTGACTGCTAACGGGGCTGTGTGTAAGAAGCCAGGGAGCACACCACCTGTGATCCACAAGAGGAAAGCTTGAATAGGAAAGCGGGTCAACAGTGAGTTCATCCGCGGCAGGGAACTACGGGTGGTGATGATGATAATGGAAGGCGATGATGAGAGCAGAGAGTGCGACTACCCAGACATGTACAGCCGAGAGTCACAAAAGCTGAGCTGAAAGGCAGCGGAGTCAATGGGGGCTTTGGTTCCCCCTTTAACACTTGGTTGTAATTATTGGCAGAAGAACACGCTAGTAGAGAATGCGCTGAATCATGGGGCTCTGAAGCACAGTCTAGGAAACCTAGTCAATAATATTGTAATTAATATTTATGGTGCCAGTTGGGCACGGGAAATATCAGGGGGGACATTGTGTAAGGCATATGATTGTCTAACCACCATGCTGTACATTCGAAACTAACGCAAAATAATGCTGAGTATAAACAGCAATTGAAAAAAAATTTTTCTTTTTAAAGAACAGATTGAAAATGTAGAAGCAGCAAGGTTTTGAGGAGGCAGGAGAGGCTGGGTTTAAAGAGCAAAGGTCTTGAGGGGTTACCCTTGCAACAGAAGGCAGGCAGGCAGGAGGGGTATGAGAGGAGGTATATGATATATCAGGTTTTTAAGTAGAAGGTAAGGGAGTTCTCCAAATAGCTTTCCTTTTCTCAATTAAAGGCTAAATACTTGATCTTTAAAATATTTAAATTTTTAAGAATCTGCTGAGATGCTTAAGAAGCTGGGAAAGGAAAGAAAGAGGTGGTTGGGGTAAAAAATCTTTGAAATGGCATTAGAAGGCTGCGTTCAAGTCTTCCGATGTATTACCTTGGGCTGACCACCAGACTTCTCTGAGATTTCCCTCAAAGAATCGTTAAAGGATTGAACAAGATGATGCTGATGTAAATTATAAAGTACTTCTTAAACAAGAGAAGCTCGGAACAGCCACCTGGGAGATGGCATAGGGCATGAATAAGAGATGAAGCAGCACCAAGCATCAGGTGAAGGTGAAGTTCAGGCGGGGATATATAGCAAACCCAAGTCCGCAGTTTGTGTGACCTAACTCCAGCCCACCGTGACAGAGACAGCAGACTGAGTCAGGGCAGGTGAAGAAATCTAGGTAAGGACTATTTTAAGACCTTTGTAGGCACACTTACTGATTTTGGAGATCGCGTGTCATTTTTATATACGAGGTGGGGGCAAACGTGGGTTTACAGCTGAGTATAGCAAACAGCTTCCTTTGGTATTATTACTTATTCATTATCGTATTATTTTTCTATACAAACTGCAAACATCTGTTTGCCTCCCCCTGTAGAAGTGGCATTGGACTCACGGACATGACATATATCTATTTTGGAAATGGCTAAACATTTCTAAGTTTTGTAAATAGTTATTTTTTTTCTTCATATTTTGGAGTCGACAAGTTTCTTGTGGTTGTTTTCCAGATTTCCGTATTTTTCAACGCTTGTGCTCTAGGCACTGTGCCTCGAGTAGATACGGATGAGGCAGACATCAACGCAACAGCGGTTCACTGGGCCCAACTCCGGTAGGAAAGGCCGTGCACAGAGCAAAGACGACCGAACCCACTCGCCAGGGGTAAGCGGCTGGAGACAGAGAAGGCGGAGGTGAGAAGCTAGGGCTGCCACTTGTGGAGTCTGGGAGAGCGGTGCCGGATCCCAGGAACAGCAAAGGCCCACATGGCCGAACCAGGAGGCGGCTGGTAAGGACACTACTAAAGGAGACAAATTATAAAGGGGGTTCCGTGAGTTCATCGGCCCAATTAGCTTGTGCGCCCACCAAGGGCTGATTTCTACCCTCCTTGACATCCTCCACTCTCCCACTGTGAGCAGTCGCGGGCCCTCCTGCAGGGGCTGATAAACCAGCGGGACAAACCTGCTCCGTTCTGGGCGACAAACAGGTCGTTTTCACCCCTGGCCGTATTGGGTGCAACAGCGGCTTCTCCAGCCCCAGGGGATCGGGTCCCGGAACCAGGGACTGAGGGGCCCTTGGTCCCAGAAAATGCAGGCGCCAGCGAGCCGCAGCGGACACGCTAGGCCTGAGGGGAAACTTCCGTCGCCGCAGCCGGAAACAGGAAAACATCTCGTCCTACAACTCCCAGCATGCCCTGGGCTGACTGACAGCTTCACCCACCAATGGGTGGGCCCAGCCTGGGTTTGTGGGCCCAATCTGAGGGCGCCAAGGAGGCCATCCCCGAGGCCTACCAAGTGGTCCTCTGGCCTCTCTGTCACCACAGAGATAAAGAGGACAATCCCCGTAAAATGGTGACGCTGGCTCTACTATGCCGCTCACTCCCCGCTTTACTTTTTCCCCCCAGAGAGGCCCGAGCCCTCCCACCGCCCTGCCCCTCAGTTTGGTTCTCTCCTCCCCGCCTGAGTGGACAGGCGATGTGGGATTTCCAAAGCTTATTGGGTGCTGGTGATGTCAATCTAGAGGGCGGTGGGGGCCTCGGGCCGCCCCTCTCGGACGATGATTGGACGCTCCTGAGTGGAGGGCTGGGATTGGTGCGAGGAGGGGCCGGAGCCCTTCAGCACCTGGGGTCCAAACCTGGGGAGGCTGTGGCTGCCGAAGAGCTGGTGCGGACTCGCCACGTCCCGGCCCGCTGTGTGCCCTCCCCCCAGGACCGGGTCGGGGGAAGGAGCGGGAGGCCCCCTACCTCATCACGGGGGGCGAGGGGGGCTCTTGTCGCGTGTCGAGCGCGGGACCAGTGGGGCGGGAGGGAGGGAGGGTGTAGAGAGGTGCAGGGAGAGGTCCAGGAGGAAGCAGCGAGACTGGTGCCAGACCTGGACCTGGAAGCGCTTCCGGGGAGGATTTGGGGGGCAGAGGCGGGCGTGGGCGTGTCTGGCATGGGATGCCGTGGAGAGGAGGGGGCACTCCT